TCTCTCTCTCTCTCTCTCTCTCTCTCTCTCTCTCTTTCTCTCTATTTCTTTCTCTCTCTTTCTGTTGCGCCTTGGTATATACGTTCGACGGTGCTGTTCCATCTCCGAGGACACGCGTATTCGTAATGGGTATGCCATAGGAAATATGGTGGGGGGACACCCAGAGAAGGAGGACCAACCATCGTGGCCGTTAACGCGGCAACGTTGCACGTTGTCGACGGAACGAACGCGGGCCGCATGTGGCTGGCTGGCACCGTTTCGTTTTCTCTCTTCTTCTCTTCTTACACTTCTTTACTATTATTCATTCTTCATTCTTCTTTATTCCTCTTCTTCTTCTTCTTTATACTCATCTTCTCGGGTCCTGTTATTTGATTTGGGGGGTGTGGAGGTGGAGAGGTTTCTCTTTTCCTTTTTTTTTTAACGACTTCCACGTGCGCGACTCGTCCTTTTTTGCCTTTTTTTTTTACCTGCTTTCTTCCTCCTTCTCCCAATTCCTCTTCCCTTTTGTCAAGTTTCTCTTCATTATGTTCGTCCTCGTCCTGGTTGGTCCTCCTCCGACCATCGTCGTCTTCATTTTCGTCATCGTTCCCTCGTATTTCTCTTAACATACGCGTCGCGTATGGTTTTTCTCAAAGTCAATTTTAAGTGCCCCGTACCCGAGGCGCAACACCGAACAAACAGCAAAAGTAGTTAAGCTGATTTTCTTTCTTTTTTTTCTTTCTTTCTTTTTCTTTTCTCCACCGACCAGAAAAAAAGATTGGGCAAAGTTTCCCTCGGTCCCTCCCCCTACCTTACCCCCCTGCCCCCTGCCGCCCCATTGTCCGTTACAATAAGTTGAAACACGTGTAGCAAAATTTATGTAGATAGAGAGACGGGGGAGGGGAAGGAATGAGAAGGGAATACGAGAACGTAAGTGGATATTTTTTAAACGACTCCTTAAGACGAGACTCGTTAAGATAAAGAGAAAAGAAAAACTTTAGATGATCCTTCTACGCGCGATATGATACAATAGATATGGATATAGAATATATATGAAATGATGTGGATAAAAATAGTATTAACTCTATTAAAGTGAATTCTGTTATAAGGTAAAAGAAGAAGAAGAATAAGGAAAATACACCCTTTCTTATATCACTCGATACGATGATGCAATATTAATGCATCCCTTTTCTCTTTCTTATCCCTAGGTAACTCTCGATTATCTTATATTGTGTAATTTTTAAATAAGGATTCCATAGTCTATGTACTATCGAGAAATATATATATATATAGATATGTTAAAATTAAAATATAAATCTATTATAAATATAGAAAATATTGCACATACCTAGAACTAAAGATATCTTCCTACCACGCATACACATATATATGTATATAATCTTTCATACATGGTGGTTATACAGGACATCCTGTATATACGAGAGTTGGTTGAGAAGTTTGGAATCTATTCTATTGTAAAAGTTTAGAGACTATGTCGAAGAATAGAAGTGAGTTTGACTGAAAAAAAAAAAAAAAAAAAAAAAAAAAACAAGAATAGATTCTATGTTAGGCTCAACATTTTTCAACCCCTTCTACATACGTGCTTTTAATATCTTCGTTATGGTATTATCTATTTGATTAATTACAACCCCCCCATGCGATTTCCATGCGACGAGCTTAAAACTCGGTCATCTCCGTATCTATAAAAATTAAATTATACAATGAAATTTGAGATATATAATAAAAATAATTGTTAATATATAATCGATTAGATGAATTACGTTTCATAGTAATCATTACTAAGCACGTTCCGTTTTATTTATTTTCAGATCGTATCCGTCGCCTGTGCAGAACGGAGGTCAAAATGGGCAGTCCATGAATTGTTCTCAGGGTAAGTAATATTACCGATCGATAGATCGTTGATATATTTCATTACATAGAATATAGTAAAGATATGGAATATAGGTATATAACATAATATACACATATACATCACACATGCGTTGCAGTATTTTATAATATTACATTAATTTTATATTATATATTATATATATCTATAAAATTACTAAATTTGTATAGAAATCTTATTTTCGAATGATAGTCACTGGCAAATATAAAAATGGCGTCGGTTCGTGATTAATTTCTAAAGATTTGATTGGTTGTAAGACAAAATGAGGTTAAGTTAATTTAATGATTATTCGATAGATAATAAATTCATGTAAAAGTCATTTATATGATATATATATATATATATATATATATAATCAAATCACTATAACCGCAAGGTTTTTGACATTATATCTCAAAATATAAATCGGCAATATATATTTATTAATCGGTTCGAACTTGCGAAACAACCCAATAATATATCGAATAAATGATCTAATATATTAAATATAATATATGTCTCTGACGCACGTACGCCCGCGCCGCGCGTGTATGTATGTGTGTATGTATGTATGGATGCGTGTATGCATGTAAATGCTATTCCCTTTTTAATATAGATATTCGCAATAAAGCCAAACGAATGGTGGAACGATGTAGCGATGTTGATTAAATGACGTTCGGGTAAAAAAAAAATTCCCCATCGAATTCTTTTCCCTATTAAATTAGCTTTACGTCATATTTTTATCGCTTGACTACTCCCATACAAATCAGTCGACGCGCGGCATGCCATGCAAGTACGCGCGCCCGCGCGTATAATATGCGAATAATTTGAAAATATTAAACCCTGTCGATGTGGGTATGTATTGTGTAGGTAGTCGTTGAAAAAAAAAAAAAAAAAAAAAACTAAAGAGTAATAATAATAATAATTAAAGAAAAAAAAAAATAATAATAATAAAGATAGAAAGGAAGAAATTGATACGTCGAAAATACAAGGATTAAAAATTAGTCTGTACGTGTGTTCGTTCGTCGAGCTTTTAACGGATCCTCTCTGTCGATAAGGATGTTTCTTTTTGAGGGGATTTTTTTCTTCTTCTAGTAATTTATTCTCTCGCCCGGGGGTCGGTAAATGAAAAAAGTATTCCAATTTAAATAGCGAATTAATTGAATAGAGACAAGAGTCGTCGCGCGAATTTGGCAATAAATTGATATTTCTTTTATCCATTGGTCGACGCGCCCTATTAATTGTTCTTATCGTATTAATTTTTCCTCTTCTCTCTTTTTTTTTCTTTTTTTTCTTTTTTTTTTCTGCAATTAGAAAAAATACAAAAGTATGTACCTAGCAAATGCGTATACTTGAAATATACACATCATATATACATATTTAAATACCTATTTTCGTGACGTTCATAATTTTATATAGATGTATGTGTGTGTGTGTGTGTGTGTGTGTGTGTGTGTGTGTGTGTGTACGCGCGCGCGTAATGCCCGTGTTAAAAAGAACACGGGCATATAAGCCTTGTCAAACGTGCGCGCGGAAACGTTATGAGAAATCGATATCCGATGTCGATTAAAAACTCTGTCAATCGGGTGCCGTCGATCAAACGACACGCATAGAATTTTTCTTTAGGTCGCGATGAAACGATGATTCGCGCGCGCGGCCAACCCTCCTACCACCCACACCACCCTCCCGTTTGAACCACCGCGCCGTGTCAACTTGTCGATGCGTGGTGCAGTATGTACGAATGCATGTATATATGCGTTTACGGAAAGTTACGAGTGTTTCCGATCGACAATCAACACGTTTTTTCCTTTCGCCCCTGCATACTCTTTTTATTTTTGTTGTTTTTTTTTTTTTTTTTTTTTTTTTTTTATTCTACGGCTTATCGCGCAATACTACCCCCACCCACCCCTTCCGCGCATTTATTCTTGCGCCTTCTTCTCTGCCCTCTTCTTTTTCGATTTCTCTTCTTTTACTCCTTTTTTGGATGCCCATCGAAAAAAAATAAATAAATTTGTTAATTAATTAATTAATTATTCGCGATCGCGCGAATGATAAATATTTTGAGTTAATGGATTTGTGTAAGAAAATCTTATTTTCAGATGATAGTCTATGGCAAATGTAAAAATGGGGTGTCTGTTCCGTTGGTGTTATAATATCCAAGGATTTTATGATTGGCCCTGACAGACTAAACGAGGGTTACTTTGGTTTAATGATCATTCGAGCGATGACAAATTAATATTAAAGTCAACTAGACGTGCATACTAATTTTTGGACAATTTTTCCAGGATTATAGCGCGATCGTCTAATAAAGATAAAAGAAAAAAAAAAGATAGAAAGAAAAATGACCGAATTGCTAAATTATCCGTATTGGACGAACCAAAAATACGAACGGGGAGACACTTGATCGACGAATGAAAAACCGGCAAAGAAAATCTTATGAAAAAGAAAGAGATAAATATAAATAAATAAATCAAAGTTAATGAGATGAAATATATATCATATATATATATATATTATATATGTGTTGGTTGATATTGAGAAGAGTTGAAACTTTGATTTAGGTGTGTTGGTGAAGCAAGAAGCTAGGGACGACGGTTACGAGACGAGTCCAGATCTCGAGATGAGAAGCACCGGTGGTGACAGCAGTCAGCAGTACCACACACCGCTGACACCGCACACGCCGCACACACCGCACACCCCGCACACGCCCCTCACGCCCGTATCGGCGACGGCGCATCAACCCCAACCACCTGGCTCGACCGCCTCCACCCTAGGACAGGTGAGTGCTATCCCATTACCCATTGCTTTTCCACCGCAAATTTTTATACCCTTATAACTCCGGCTTCGTTTTGTTCGTTCGACTGGTTGGTCACGAATTCTACTCTTTTTCTTCTCTTTCTTTCTTTCTTTCTTTCTTTCTTTTTTTTTTTTTCTTTGTTTCTTTTCTTTTCTTCAAAATAGACTACTACAACGAAACATATCGTATACACCACCTAGTAACATTTTCTTTTTGTATTATTCTTTTTTTTTTCTTTTCTATTTCATTTTTTTTGTATCCATATTATCAAGGAATCATTTAATAGAGAAACACATTTGATACACACCGTCCCGTAGTTAAATTACCCTATATAACCTCATTTATAAAAGAAAATTATTTATATTCTGTTTAATAATACTATTCTGTTGGTTTGTTTTATTTATTTCTTTAGTTTCTAAAAGAAATATCCCTGGAGAATATTATCGGGTGTTTCCCAGAATTCCATACTAAGGTAGAGACTACTTTTTTTTTTATTTTATTATTATTATATATATATACACACACGCATACACACACACACACATATATATATATATATACATACACGCGTGTGCGCACGCATATATTTTTATTTTATTTTAGTTTTTTTTTTTTTTAAACCGCCACGATAAAAATGTAAAAATTTTTTCGCACGCGTAAAACGTTTCAACCCCCCCCGTCCTCGCTCCTCCTCCTCCTCCTCCGCCCCCTCTCTTCTCCTATTTTTCATCTACGTTTCTCTTGGTAAAAACATGAACTATCAGGGACACGTACAATGTCGCTCATAAAATGTACTACATGTACATAGTAGAGGGTTGTATGTATGTTAGAGGAGAAGTAATATGGTGTCCCGAAGCCGTACGATAGATAGCAACAACTGCGCAATGGTTCTGATGGGTACCATCGTCCTCATCCTCCTCGTCTTCGTCGTCTTCGTCGTCGTCGTCGTCGTCGTCGTCATCCTCCTCCTCGTCGTTGTCGTTCTCGTGGAAGATACGCACGTGTTTCAGCAACGATTTCTATCAGTCCGTTGAGAGAATAAAGTGCGAGCTTTTAGAAAACCCCTACTACTCTGTCTTACGATACATAGACATATAGATAGATAGATAGATAGATAAATAGATACATAGATAGATAGATATATAGTTGTAAAAATATAAAAGTAGGATCTGAAATGAAATGACAGACGTGTCGTATATTTCTACAGGTTAAACCAAATGTGTTCTAGATGGATGCTAATTTTTATTTAAAAACAAAAACAAAAACAATTGAGTCCTCCTCCCACCCCCTCCCATGCGTGTTCAGTCAAAAATCGCTAACAAACATTTATGCTAATCCCCCCGGAGTTATTGCTACGTCAAAGAAAATTTTTCATGGAGGTGGAGGCAGGATTTGAAATCAGCTTTTTCAAACGAAAAAAATATGCATTTTGTTAATGCTTTCGCAAAACTACTGTTGATGTTTTATTATTTTTTTTTAAAGTAACGAACGGATGGATTTTTTTTGTAAATGAAATTTGAAGTAATTTAAGGTAACACGAATGAGTCAGTCACAGATTTTGAGTCAAAGGTTTAATTAATGACCTGTTTGCCGAACATAAACGAGAATTATCGAGAAATCTTTGTGCCGAATTAATATAATTAGGCATTCGCGAAAATAGGAATAATTCATTTGTAAAATCGTTTGAAAATATTTGCATTCTCTATTTAGAAACTGTCATATAATTTATTATTCCTTAATTTTTTTTGTTGCCTTTTTTGTCCAAGGAAAAAGAAGAATTGACAGGGAAAAAAAGAATAGCAAAAAGAAAAAATAAAATGTATTATACTAATTAGAAGCTTAAAAATACTCATTGCGAGGTAAATTAGAGACACGTGAGACTTTTTAAATAGTGTTTCGGTTTAGTTTTTACATAGCAGCAGCAAGGCCTATCTCATAAATAATGGCCAATCGATAAACTTCAAACACCTTCCAAGCGTTAGTGCACGTTCTGAAGGAGTATCAGGAGAATGCTTAAGGTGGAGGAAATGGTTATATACATTTGTGTGTGTACATACACGTGTACGTATGTGTTATCGTTTCTACCAGCAGCCAGTACGAGTCTTATCTTGTAGCATTTCGTGCTCGATTTCAGGTTTATCGTGGGGTCAAGAACAACGCGCGCGCCTCGTTGTACGCATCTAATGAACGCACGAAATCGAAAATTAAGGGCGCGAAAAAAAAACGTAAGGATGGTGATGACGACAACGACGACCACGAGGAGGAGACTAGTCATCTATCTTTCATTATTTATCTCGACATTTTGTTCATATACAAATTGTTCTGAATTTTTTTTTTTGTTTTTTTTTCCTCGCAGATAATTTGTTAAAAAAGAGACAAAACTTTGATCGATATTATAATTTAAAAGAGAAACAACAAAATCTTTCGGATATAACTCTAATCGAATACGCGATATTTATCTCCTAGCTGTATTAGATTTATTATATATATTTTTTGTTTCCCATATGAAATGTTTATTACACGTAACTATCGGAGAAACGTTATATTATAATCGTTAACTGATACGCGTGATATTTAAATTCCTGGAAGATAATCCACATTGTCTACCATTGTATATACATTGGTTGTCCCTGAAGTATAATTGTAATTGTTAATTCGTAATTCTTTTTTGTTTGTTTTTTTTTTTTTGTCAAAGATAGCGAGATAATTTTGTCGAGGACGATGCAACGTCATGCGAGATTATACCTCGGGAGAGCTAAGGCTCAGAATTTATTTACGATTACTATGCAACTTTGTTTCTAAAAATTATTCGCTATCTTGACGAAGTCTAAAATATATGTATTTATTAAGTTTCATTATTAGGTGAGTCAAGTAAGGTAAAAAAAAAAAAAAAAAAAAAAAAAAAAAAAAAAAAACCGAAAAAGAAAAATGAAACCAAACAAAAACAATATAAAACGTAAAGAAAGCACAAGGAAGGAATAAATAATTAATTAATTATAAATAACACACAAAAAATATNTAAGGCTCAGAATTTATTTACGATTACTATGCAACTTTGTTTCTAAAAATTATTCGCTATCTTGACGAAGTCTAAAATATATGTATTTATTAAGTATACGCGATAGGTGCGATATCGTATTGGTAAAAAAAAAAAAAAAAAAAACAAAATAAAAAGTAAACCGAAAAGGAAAAATGAAACCAAACAAAAACAATATAAAACGTAAAGAAAGCACAAGGAAGGAATAAATAATTAATTAATTATAAATAACACACAAAAAATATGGCTAATAACAAAAACTGCGCGATTCTCGTGAGAATCCTATTGTTTCCGTTGTTTTTAGATGGCAATAAAATGCGAGACACCGGTGGATCCATACTCTTTCGTGGACGAGGACATGTCGATGGGTGGTATGAGGTCCGCGAGCAGTCCTGGTGGCAATCCTGAGAGCATGACGTGTCCGGGCGGCGTCCAACCGGGTCTGGTTACACCCACGTCGACGCCACCCGGTCCTCTCTCCAGTCAGCAACATCATCGAATCGATCTCGTTCTGAATGGTGCTGTGAATACCCAGCTAGCGCATCAACCGAAGAAAAGGGGAAGAAAGAAAAAATCTGAAATGATATTAACTCCCGAAGAGTAAGTTACTTGGACGAAGATATAACGTCTAAATGCTAGGTTATGTTTTTTCCCTATGTATGTACGTAATTCTTCTTAACAGGATTTTTCATTTATTATTTTTCTATTCTTTTCTTTTTAATTGTTCACTCGAGATCTTCAAAAATCAGATCTCGTCAATTTTTAAATCTTACGTATAAATTGATGACACGTAAGAAAACATTCGAATCGGAGTGTAAGACTTCGTAACGTTTGCGCCATTTTAAACGATAGTATTGTCGGCCATTTTATAGTCGAATACACTACGCGTAGTTCTTACGTACGTTTATATCTTGAAATTCAAGTCTCTTTCTCTCTCTGTTAAAATGTTCAAGCTCTTGTCAAACGAAGATTCTATTTATTTATTTATATATAGGCTAATTAATTTTACATATGTGATGGGGGGTGAACAAAAAACTTTCTAGCAGGTGATTTCAATAATCAATCACTCTTTTCGAAGATACATTTTAAGATTGCAGTTATACAATATGAGATAAGAAGTAGTTTGAAGTTAAAGTTCGTTGATTTAATCTTAAAATTATCTAAAAAAAAAAACTATTAACTTTATTGGTATATCATTTTTATTTGAAATGTAGTGGAAACCAGAAAATAGGATATCAAATAAATAAATGGAAGGAAAAAAGAACGAGAGAGAGAGAGGGAGAAAGAAAGTTAAAACGACTGATCCTTTAAAAATATCGAAATCAAAGCAATTTCAATTGAGAATATATCTTCGTAACATTTGCTGGAAGAAAGCACGGATTATAGATACGCTCGTTACACCGTATCAACGTTAATTCGCTAAAACGGCGAATTCATTCGCATGTAAAACACGAAAATTTGCAAGGGAAATATCGAAAAATATCATCTGTTTGTAGAAAGAGAGAGAGAGAGAGAGAGAGAGAGAGAGAGAGAGAAAGAGAGAGAGAAAAAAAAAGAAATACAAAAAGAAAAAAATATATATATATATATATCTATATATACCTGAATCTAACGATCGGTTATAATTTTTCGTACGGTAGAAAGAAAATCAAATACATAAATTAAAATAAAATAAAATAAATGTACATACGCTTATATATACATATATTTACGAACGTGTAAAAATAATTAAAAAGAAAGGAATACGATGATCATAATTTTTCGAATAAAAAAAAAAAGAAAAGAATAAAAATATAACCCAAATTATTTAAAACATTTGACGAAAAATTCGAATATTAATTGAAAAACGAGTAAATCAAGGTGTAGCTCAAAATTACTCCCAAAATAAATCTGACGAACTCCACCTTGGCTTTAAGTTTCCTTATATTCTCCCATTCTTCTTCTTCTTATTATTTTTTTTCTTGTAATCTTTCGTGATATTTGTTCTAGAGCTGAGCTTGCGGAGGCGAAAAAACGTGCAAAGACGTATAAAGAAAGGAAAAAACACGATAGGTTCGACGGAATGCCAGAGGAGGAAGTGAGTAAACGCGTTCTTCCGGATCACCTAACGAACAACCTGGACATCATCATAGTAAGTTTACCTTTTATCTATCGCTTTGATCGTCTCTCTCTCTCTCTCCCTCCCTCCCTCTTTTCGTATTTTACCTTGGGTTATAATCTACAAGTTGTTGTTGTTGTTGTTGTGCTGGTTACTACTTTATATAGGAAAAGCGCGGAGTTCCTACTGTGTTCTAGTACTGCGAGCATATAAATGAACAAACGGAGCGAAAACGAATGAGTGAGTGAGTGAGTAAGTGAATGAATGAGTGAGCGAGTGAGTTAGTCAGTCAGTTGGTTAGATTAAGAGAGAAAGAGAAAGAGAGAGAGAGAGAGAAATAGAAAGATGTATGTATGCGAATCTAGATAGATGGACGAGTAGATTTATTATACGCTACGGGATCTACGTAAGCTAAGAGCACTGAGCCGGAATAATCACTGATTACACTACTGTGTAACGTACACCAATAATCTAACAGGAGGAGTATCACAGGGATACCGTGAAATTTCTAACAACAAAAGCGAACCGTGTATATAGATATCTTTCCCACCCCCTCCCCTAACCTCCACCTCACCCTTCTTTCATTCTCTCTCTCTCTCTCTCTCTCT